GTGAATAATAAATGTATTATTAGAAAATATCTAATTATATTTATGTAACAATCCCCCACTTATTTTTTAATAATATTATTAAGTATACTGGTATTGTATAATGCATATCCAAAAGTGGCCAAGGCTTGAACCTTTGGATTGAATATGAATTACTAGGAAAGATATTCACATTAGACATTGGCTCAAAGTTCCACCATGGCAAGCACGTTTATATAACAAAGGGCCTTGCGCTAATCCTATTCTAGCAAGTACTCTAAGATTAACCGGTGCAATCTATAGAAGGCGGCCTCCGACCTTCCTACTTGCATAGGTAGACTCATCAAGAATGTTCACAACTTCCATTCCACTAGAGTTAGTTATGAGTCTATTAAGAGATTTAACGTTCAACCTTTTTTGTGGTGAATAACAGTGTACTTGTCTAGGTAGAGGACTTTAAAAGAATAGTTTTATTTATTTTATTACCTCCACTATTCTTTAAATAATAAAGTACACTGGAAATGTGACACCTCATGCTTACATTTCTTGAGCAATTCATGAGTGAATTGCCGTTGAACTTCTATGAACTTGATTTTTTATTAAGGACATGTCTTCATATCAACATCAAAGTGATGAAGTTGATTTCAAACATGATCCACCATTACCGGTAAAAGTCCCATACCTCTCCAAATTTTACTTTAACCTTACTCTATTTAAAGGTTGTGTTAAGGGGTCAGCCAACATTTGTTTGGTAGGTAGATATTCTACCTGTACCCTCCCTTTTTTCACAACACTTCTTACATAATTATATCTCATAGCGATGTGTCTACTATTATTAGATAACATTTCATTTTTAGCATTGTGAATTTTTGCTTGATTATCACAAAATAATGTGATGGGTCCTCTTGGTATTCCTACAAAAGGAATACCTTTAAGGAATCTCCTTAACCATAAAATTTCTTTTGATGCCAGTGGCATGGCAACATACTCAGATTCCATAGAAGACAAAGCCACACACTTTTGTCTTTTAGAGGACCAAGAAACAATGGATCCACCAATGGTAAATAACCATCCACTTGTTGATTTTGAATTTTTCTTATTAGATGCCCAATTAGCATCACTGTAACACTCTAAGACAAAAGTAGAGCAATTATAATGCAAGCCAAAATGCAAAGTATATTTCAAATATCTCATAACTCTACTGATCTCATTCCAATGCTTAACACTAGGATTACTAGTAAATCGACTCAAAATTCCAACAGCAATGCAATATCAGGCCTAGTATGATTCATGACATACATTAAACTACCAATAACTTTAGCATACTCCTTTTGATTAATAGGTTCACCTTGATTAGAAATTAATTTAACATGTGGATCAATTGGAGCTTTACTAGGCTTACAATCAAAATAATCAAATTTCCTTAATAATTTGTCAACATAATGTGATTGAGTCAAATTATATTTATCATCCCTTTTAATAACTTTAACTCCTAAAATGACATCTACTGGACCTAAATCCTTTATGTCAAATACTTGGGTTGAATAATTTTTAGTCTCATTAATACAACGCATGTCAGAACCAAAAATTAATAAATTATCAACATAAAGTGTAATGAGAGCTTTATAACTACTAATAACCTTGGTAAAAACACAACTTTCTACTTTACTACATTTAAAACCAACCTTCCTAATCTCCTTTTTAAATTTCTTATACCATTGCCTAGGTGCTTGCTTAAATCCATAAAGAGACTTGTTAAGTTTACATACCTTATCCTCTTGACCTTGCACTATGTATCTTTTGGGTTGATGAATGTAGATTTCCTCATCAAGTTCTCCATTAAAAAATGTTGTCTTCAAGTCCATTTGATGTACCTCAACATTATAAATGAATGCAATGGCAAACATAATTCTAATAGAAGTAAATCTAGTCACTGGTGAAAATGTATCAAAATAATCCAACCCTTCTTTTTGACTAAAACCTTTGGCTACTAGTCTTGCTATATATTTATCAATGCTACCATCTATCTTTAATTTCTTTCTCAAGACCCACTTGTAGCTAATAGGTTTAGTATTAGGAGGAAGATCAACCAAAGTCCATGTATTATTATCATGAATAGATTTTATCTCATCATCCATGGCTCTCTTCCATAAAGAAGCATCTAGTAAAGCCATGGCTTAACTAAAAGTTCTTGGGTCCTCTTCCAAAGAATATGTAAACATACCAGGACCAAGATCCTTTTCTATCATTCTTCTTTTACTTCTTCTCAATTCTGATTGTTCCTCCTTTTTGTTCTCATATTCTCAGTTGGGTACACTTTCATGCAAATGACCCATGTGACTAGCATTGTTCTCACCTTTTTGGTTGGAAGCACTTTCACGCAAGTTATCACCCATGTGATTATTATGCAGCTTTTGACCGCTCAAACAATTAGAATAAGAAAAAATAGTTGTACCAACATCTTCCACATGCTTATTGTGTGCAAAAGAATTAAATTCCAATTCATTTGATAAATCCTTTTCTAGTACTAAACTATCAGCATCTTTAATAGTTAAATGCTCAAAATAAATTGCATGTACAACCTCAAAAGCACTATTTATCTTCAAATTAAGAAATTTATATGCTTTGCTATGTAAGGAATAACCAATAAAAATTGATTTTATAGCCTTACTACCAAGTTTAGGCTCTTCATGGTTGAATCAAAAACATATGCAATGCAACCCCAAATTTTAAAATAATCAATATTTGGTTTCCTACCATTTAATAATTCATATGGTGTCATATCCTTACCTTTATGCAACATTCTATTGGAAATATAACATGCAGTAATAATGCCTCACTCCAAAAATTAAATGGCAAATTAGAGTGAATTAACATGGCACTAACCATCTCCACCAAAGTTCTATTCTTCCTTTCAACAACTCCATTTGGTGGAGGTGAATTAGGGGCTGAAAATTCTCTAACAATACCATGTTCTTCACAAAAAGAAATAAACTCATTAGAATTAAATTCACCACCTCTGTTTGATCTAATTCTTTTAATCTTTCTATTTGTTTTATTCTCTATTTCTTGCTTAAAAATATTAAATTTTTCTAAAGCCTCATCCTTAGTTCTAAGCAAATAAACATAAATATACTTAGAAAAATCATCAATAAATGTTATAAAATAACATTTACTACCTCTAGTCAATTTATCCTTGTTACCACGTAAATAAGTATGAATGAGATCCAACAAAGATGTATTTCTAATAGCAGATTTAAAAGATGGTTTAGTAATCTTAGATTGTGCACAACATTCACATGTTTTCATGTTAAGAATAGAGCTAGATTTAAGAATATATTCATGAGAAATCATACGCTTTAATGATTACTACCTATATGTTCTAATCTAAAATGCCAAAGATGATTAATATCACTAGAATTAACAATATAAGCAGAATTAGATGCATCTTTATTTATACTAATAGCATACATATTGTCTTTGGCATAGCCTTTCCCAACAAAGGATCCCTTCTTGGAAATGATCACTTTTTGGGAATCAAATACAACTTTAAACCCATGATCATCAAGTTTCTTAATAGAAATTAAACTTTTCCTAAGACTTGGAATATGATACACATCTTGCAAGGTGAGAAGTTTTCCAGAAGTCAAAGAAAGTTTTACTGTCCCTTTACCAACAACTACACATGTGGAAGAATTTCCCATGAAGACATTTTTCTCCATTCATTTCTTCATATGTCTTAAAAGAACTTTTAAATGGAGTCACATGACATGTTGCTCCTAAATCAAGCCACCAATCATTTTCATTGTTTATAACCAGTAATTCAGTGAGCATAGCCACCATATCATCCTCTGTGATACTATTTGTTTCACAAATTTTCTTCCCTTTACAGTGGTAGCATTGCATAGCAACATGCCCCAATTTTCCACATACAAAGCATGGTCCTTTCTTCTTTTTGAAAGTTGCTAAGTTCTTGCCATTTTTGCCTTTCATTGAAGAAGACCCTTTTTGTCCTTTCTTGAACTTGTGATTGGGTTTCTTGGAAAAAGATGCTGGCCCCTCCAAAGCATTCACATTATCACTCTTTCTTGACCATCCCTTTTCCAAGCCTTATATTCAATTTGGATGTGCTTCATCAATTCATCCAATTTCAAAGACCTTTTCTTGTGTTTAAGGAATTTTTGATAATCCTTCCATGAAGGTGGTAACTTACCAATTATGGTAGACTCTTGAAAGGTCTCAGAAATTGGTTCCCCGAAATTAGCACATTCCGTTGCAATATCATTTAATTCATTGACTTAATCAATGACAGGCTTGGAATCACTCATCTTAAAATCAATATATTTGTTGACAAGAAAAGATTTGTTGCCAGTATCCTCATTCACATACCTTTGTTCTACTACATGCCATAACTCAAGAGCAGTGGAGTGTTTGTGAAAAGCATTGAAGAGAGAATTTGTCATGGCTTGCAAAATGGTTAGATGGCAAACATAATCATCTTCAAGCCATTTGTGTTACTGCTCGATCGATTCTCCATTTACAGTGCCGATACAGTCTTGTGGATATGGATTATGCAAGACATAGGCCATTTTCAAAATGGTGATTTGATAATAAATCTTCATGCTCCACCACTTGTAATTCAGTCCATTGAAGCGTTCCAGTTTTTCAACATCAATGTGTGGTTTGACAATTCTAGACTCCATTTGGAAAGACTATTATCCTTAAATTGTTGTATGCAAAGAGTTGTAGGTGCAATCGTTGTGAACAAGGCAGTTCCAGGAACCTTTCTTAAGGATAATACTTTTCACCTCTTTGTAGGAAATGTTATCCCCATGATACAATGCCCACTAAAATGAACTTTAATCACCCAACTAGTATACTAAAACTCTAAAGCAAAGTGCAGAAATTCAAGGAAGCAGATGAAGAAAACTCAAAGTTTTTCTAGAAGAATTAATATGTTTTTTGAGACTGTATTATTTATCTACAATTCCTAATCAGTGTTTTTACTCTGGTATAAAACAGATACACCCTTCAAGAATAATAAATCTTCATCTGATATATTTATATAAAATAATATTTCAAACCTTTTGCTCGTTGGAGATGATTTTCTCCAACTTAAATTCAACTTTCAACTTGCAGATAAAGCAGTTATCAAACAGGTTTCAACCACTCCTTATCTTTATCTTTTCTCTTTCTTGTTTGACACTACCCCATGTTTCAAGCTTTTAAATCGTACCTACATCACATGCATCCCTTAAAGTTAAAGTGAAGTGTATATATATATATATAAAATATTATAAAATATTATATAATGTAAATAATAAATATATTATTAGAAAATACCTAATTATATATATGTAACAATTGTATGCAGTGCTTTTATAGTAAAGTTTATTTTTAGGTAAATAGGCCTTAGAAACCTATAACAGGGCAAACTATAACCAAGTGGTCAGGTTTATTCAGCTTTTGGTTGTTTTTACTTTGGGTTTGATTATATATAACTAATCTCAATCAGTTTATCTGAGCATAACAAAGGAGATCGAGTAAAAATCTTTTCTTTTTAATTTTTTAATGGTTCTAAGAAAAACCTTCTCTTTCCCATTAAATTATTTCCTTACATGAACAACATTTTTATTTTTGGTATATTAGAGAGTCAGTTATTTAGTAATACAAAAATTTAAAACTCTAATTTTAATTTTAATTCAAAATTTTTAAGTTATTGAATATTTCAAAATTTTGTTAGTTGCATGAGCCACTTTTGTTTTTCTAATACTCCCTTTTTTTTTCTTAATATTTGTATATATTAATTGTTATTTTTTCATATTTTAAGGGAGTCAAATATTTTTTTCTTAATTTATAACTCTATTGTAATTAGTTGATTTTAATTATGTATCATTGCCAAAATTTTCTCTTTGTTTATTTATTTTTTTTAAGTGTAACATAGTTAAAAACATAAATTAATCTCAAATTTGTAATTTAAGGAAAAAGTTAAAAAAACATCTAAAGAACAGTTTAAATTAATAAAATAATAATTAAAAAATTTAAAATACCATAAAATGGTAAGAATAATTTTTCAATTTAAATTGAAAGTGAACCAAATTCTTATCTTCCAAAAAATTAACCAAAACAAATAAAATCAATAATTTTGGTTTAATTAATAATTAACCAATAAAATTTGTGCACTGTTGGAATGACATCCTGATAAGAATAGAATGGTCGGAACTTGGAAAAAGAAAATTTTCCATCAAGAAGTCGAACTTGGAAGAAGAAAATTTTCCATCAAGAAGTCGAACATGGTCTTGTCAATTTGACTACTGTTTGTGTTGGAATGGAGATGCTAGAATCCACTTCCTTCGCGGAAGTAAGACTTTTTACAATGCACACAATGGGTCTTAAGTTTTAACATTCACAGGCATGCATAAACGAAACTGTGTACACAAACATAAATCATTTTTCATTCTCTTTTGAGGAACAGTTCATTTGAATCCAAGTCTCTTTGCCCTACAATTTTTAAACTGACACTATATTACAGTGCAAAAAGGGAAAGGAAACTTAGAAATACAGAATATATAACACGGGGATACATAAGAATAAGGGAAATTAAGGAAACTTCGAAATACGGTATCACACGGGGATACACTACCATACGTTGAACTTGTGTATTATGATGTCAAGAAATTATCAACTTTAACGTTTGTTGCCCTTGACAGAAACTTCATGCAAATAGGGGGTTTAACGCCTGCTAAATCAAGCAGTGAACTAGACAAAGTCCAGGTGCCATCCCCACATATCAAACCGGAGGTCACTGTTGGCCCCAAAGCTTCTGCCTTGGCCTTGTTTACCCTCTTCCACACAAACAATATCAGCTGCCAACACACGTCTATGGCAAAGTACGGATCCAATTTGAAAGGTATTGCCATTGCCATGGGAATTGGAAACGAACTTCCCTGCTTTCTTACCCGCCACATCCCTGATTAAGTTTATCAGGATGGCTGCCCCAAAGAAAAGCAAGAGGCAATATTTTGGTAGAACAGAGAAACCTTGTACCCTTAATAGTGCCATGTTGCCGTATACAATAGCATAAGGAGCCGGATATGTACTTTCAGGATCCCCCAGGTTATCAAATGCCTTGTAGAATAGCCAAAAGACCCAAGGGGAAATGACACAACCAAATGCTGTGCCAATCACTCGGCCTTTTGATGATTCGGATGTTCATTTAAAGTGACAACATTAGTGGGGAACTCATTTTTTGATATAATTTTTATTTTTGGTTCGTCGCGAATTGGGGGATTCGGAAGTTATATTTTGGGTATGAGAGAACGCATTGCCAAGCAATTAAATGAGACAAGTGACTACAAGAACCCATCACTAGGATGGATGATAGGCTTTCTCTTCATTGTTGGCTTCCGTGGCCTCTTCTCAGTAGTGCTTCTTCAGAAGGTATACCGATTTGCATAATTTACAGCAAATATACGATTTACACTTGCAATCCATACCTCATGATTTTAATTTCTTTTTCTCTATGACCACAGACTTCAAACTGATATATCCAAGTGGTACTGGAACTGCTCATCTTGTCAACAGCTTGCACAGCCCTGAAGGAACCAAGCTACCAAAGTAATATCATTGTCACAGTTACACTTGCCTTTTTTATGGTAGAACCATTACACCTTCTAATTGGATAAATTCTCAAATCTTCAGTACTCTAAGTTGTATTACTTTTCCAGGAAGCAAGAGATGAAAACACTGAGCAAGCTCTTTTCTTTTAGCTTCTTGTGGGGTTTTCTTGTGGGGTTTCTTTCAATGGCTTTTTAATGGCGGAGATGATTGTGGATTTGAAAGCTTCCTAACATTTGGGCTGAAAGCATATAAAAACATGTAAAATCACTAACATTTGCTTCTCTAGCAAGTGAAGGAATAATTAATCTTGACACGAAGAATCTAGTTTTATTTGTTGAAGCACTGTGATTCAAGGAAGTCACTCTTGTAATGCGCAGGTTTTACTTCGATTGCTCAGCCACATTCATTGGAGTGGGGATGATCTGCCCCTACATTGTTAACACATCTTTGCTCCTTGGTGGAATTCTTTCATAGGGTCTATTGTGCCCTCTCATTGAAACAAGAAAGGGTCACTGCTATGCTGCTGACCTTCCCTCAGGCAGCATGCATGGTCTACAGGGTTACAAGGTTTGTCTCTCGTATGCCTGCAGTTTTGTGCCATATTTACATATTTTATATGACTCATGCTTTCACCAACGCTGACACGTTTCATATTCCCCATATTCCGGTAGTTATTGCATTGCCATGATTCCAGGTGATGGTCTTTACAACTTTTTCAAGGTGCTAGGTCGAACCATTTCAGGCTTGTTTCATCAAGTGCGGCAGAAGAATGCTTTCAAGCCTGTTGCAGACAGCCAACCTCCAGTGAGCTCAAAGCAGCTCACTTATGATGACCAGCGTCGTACCCAACTCTTTCTTAAAGATCAAATCCCAAAATGGTTTGCTGTTTCAAGTTATCCGACGACTGCTTTCATCTGTACGATCGCTCTCCCACACATTTTTCACCAACTCAAATGGTATTACATATGGGTTATCTACCTCTTTACACCAGCACTAGTTTTCAGCAATGCATATGGGTGTGGACCTACTGATTGGTCCCTGGCTTCCACCTATGGAAAGTTAGCCATCTTTGTAACTGGGGCGTTGGCCGGATCACACGGTGGAGTTCTTGCGGGATTAGCAGCTTGTGGAGTCATGATGAACTCCATTTCAACAGCTTCTGACCTAATGCAGGATTTCAAGACTGGATATCTGACTATCGCTTCACCTCGATCCATGTTTATTAGCCAAGTGATTGGCACAGCATTTGGTTGTATCATTTCCCCTTCTGTATTTTGGCTATTCTACAAGGCATTTGATAACCTGGGGGATCCTGAAAGTACATATCCGGCTCCTTATGCTATTGTATACGGCAACATGGCATTGTTAGGGGTACAAGGTTTCTCTGCTCTACCAAGATATTGCCTCTCGCTTTGTTATGTGTTCCTTTGGGCAGCCATCCTGATAAACTTTAATCAGGGATGTAGCGAGTAAGAAAGTAGGTAAGTTCATCCCAATTCCCATGGCAATGGCAATACCTTTCAACTTCGGTCCGTACTTTGCCATAGACGTGTGTTGGCAGCTTGATATTGTTTTTGTGGGAGAGAGGGTAAACAAGGCCAAGGCAGATGCTTTGGGGCCAACAGTGACTTCCGGTTTGATATGTGGGGATGGCATATGGACTTTGTCTAGTTCACTGCTTGATTTGACAGGCGTTAAACCCCCCAATTTGCATGAAGTTACTGTCAAGAGCAACAAACGTTAAAGTTGATAATGTACGTCTTGATATCATAATACACAAGTTCAACCTATGGTAGTGTATCCCTGTGTTATACCGTATTTCGAAGTTTCCTTAATTTCCCTTTTTCTTACGTATCCTCTTGTTATATATTGTATTTCTAAGTTTTCTTTCCCTTTTTGCACTGTAATATAGTGGTAATTTAACAGTTTGTTTGGATTGAGGAAATTAGAGAAAGAAAAGGGAAGAGTAACAGAGAGATAACACTTTTTTCAGTTTGAATAAATCAGTTTAATGAAGAAGAGGAAGATAGAGGGAAATCAAACCCCTCGCCTCTTCTGTTTTTATTCCTTCTTATTTGGAAGGTTCGGAAGGAATTGTATTATTGAAATTATTTTTATTGTTAATTTTTTTAAAAAATAAATAGATAAAAACATTTTATTTTAACTATTTATATAATTAATAAATTTTAAAAATTTTATTCTTTTTTATTTTATTTTTTACGAAATTATTTAATTAAATAAAAATATTATCATTTCCTCTCCATTATTTTTATTTATTCAGCAAAACTAATATCAACATTTTCTTTTCCTTTCACTTCTCCTCTCGTTCCCCTCCCCTTCTTTTTCTTCACTAATTTTTATCCAAACATAGGTTAAAAGTTGCATGGCAAAGAAAATTGGATTCAATTCAATTGAATCGTTCCTCAAGAGAGAATGAAAAATGATAAATGTTTGCGTACACAGTTTCGTTTATTCATGCCGGTGAGTGTTAAAACTTGTGTGCATTGTACAAAAGCTTACTTTAGCGAAGTGGATTCTATATCTCCATTCCAACACAATGGTCAAATTGACAAGGCCACGTTCGAATTCTTGATGGAAAATTTTCTTCTTCCTAGTTGCTACCATTCTATTCTTATCAGGAGGTCCTTACAACGGTACTCAGATTTTTTGGCCACCACAGAATCTTCGAGGAAACATAATTGGATTTACATTAACCACAGAAGACATTACAACAATACTCAGGTCTTATGGCTATCCTAAAAATTATCAGTTCTGCAGAGTAACTGCAAGTCCTCGCAGTTGATGAATCTTCCATCTTGATTTCGCTTTTCAATATCACAAACACATGCTTGGATTTTGCTTGTGCTTTTCCATATTTACCATTGGTGTCAGGAATCTGAAGCAGCAGCCCAATCCTCATCACTTCCATTATTAGTATCCTGAGAGAGAGACAAAGGAAGAAATTTATCTAAATCAACTCATCAATGGTATAATCATCTACCATCACAACTAAATCGCTAATTACAATTCAATCAATTATAAATATTACATATTGACGCAGAGAAGAGGGAGGAAAACTTACACATGATGAGATTAGAACCTTCAAATAATTTTTATTAAAAGAACTCATGTGGCTCATTTTCATGAAAAGAACCATCTACCAACCTCCATTGAGGGTGGAAATAAGCTTCTCTATTCTTTCCTAGAGTAAAATTTTTCAAACAACATATAAATTGCGTGTTTTTATATTGTGTGTGATTCTCATGGAAATATATATAATATATGTACACTAAATGGGAGACGATCAAATAAATAAATAAATATATATATATACACACACTACATGGGAGTTGGGCTGAGCTCACAAGCTCTGTTAGCTACATGAGACTGACCAAAACATTCAAACTCAATTTGAACTCAATGAGGAACCTAATCAAACTCAAGCATGGATCTTTCATTAAATTAAGACCTTTACTTTTTCACATCCCAAGTAAAAATTATGACATCAATGGAATTTCTGTTGGAGAATATTATGGATTAGGTAGGCAGTAAGGATTGGGGTGCTGGAACCTTGATATGTTGAGGCAAAATGTTTTAAGGTTTTGGAACCTCTCTTTAGGTTCCTGAACCATAGAGATAGACTACGCTGTTTTAACTTTGGATTTCCTAAATGTTATAATTTATCATCAATATAAATAGCAACTAGCAAACTACTAGAGGCTAGATCACGTATTAATATAAATGGTAACCAACAAACAACACTGTGTTCACATGGTGGTTAGTGGAAATTGTTGCGTTTTTTGTATCCTAGTTCTGTAGAAACAAGGTGGGAAAGAAATCTTCAAAACAGCGTAGACAGAGCAAAGAAGCTGATAGGAAGTCAAACCTTTGATGTGCTTGAGAATTCTTCAATGTCCCCATCTTCAACCTGCAAGGTTTTTTACTGCATTAACTTCCCATTAATCAACAGGAGGAACTTCACTTGCATAATTAGTTAGCAGACTTTTTCAAATTACACAAAAGTTTCATCTTGAAACCAATTTAGTCAATATACATAAAAAGTTGATATTTCACAAAGCTAATGAACTTTTAGCAGATTTAAGTGGATATTCACAATATTAGATGTCAAAATCAAAAAGAAGATGCAGTTAAGAACAAGGAAATTAACCACACCAAAATTACTGCATTAACTGATAACCTGATGTACATTCATGAAAATGAAAAACACAAGTCCTTCATTATAAAGAACTGAGTTTTGAAATAAAGAAAACAATACCTCGTCGTCTTTCTTCTTTCCTCGGGTTCCTGTCCCTACAACAATTTTAAAGAAACTTTTTTCATGACTAAATTATTAAAAAAAAAAAAAGAAAAATCCAACAAAATGCCAAATTTGAAATCTGGATACCTTCATGACAAGGACCTAGGGCTCAAAGCAAACTCAGAGCCATTTGCAAGCTGCTCAAAGTATTGTCTTGGCTCGTTCATAAACTTAATAACTTATAAATAAGCTTGAACTTGGTTTCAAACTTGTTTAAAAATATCCAGGTCTAAGCCTAAGGTTTGGCTTAATCTAAAGCATGTGAACAAACTCATGGATGACTACAAACAAAGCAAGGCAAACCTCAACCAAAGGCTCAATTGCAAACTCTTTGGATGGGTAAAGGGATTAGGGAACAATTAATCTAAGCATTTTTTGTTATGCCTTAATCATTCTAGGCTATATTAAAGGGTTCTAGACTGTTAAAGGCTTAACGCCCAAATCAATTTTGATTCTTACCAAGTTGCACATAGGCACACATAGATAAATTTTTATCACCAAGGGTAGGAAGACTTGCCAGTTTTTGACTCTTTCATAACCTTTGCCTTTTTTCTAGATCCTTCAGCCTGCAACAATAGAATAAAAATGCTTCTTCAGTCTGCAACCCTGGCCCGCAACAAGAATTCCCCCAAATTTTCAAAATTCAGCATTTGACCAGAAGGAGAATGGCAAGCCAGATGAAGTTGAAAAGTTTAAAAAGTTTAAGGAAAAGGTGTCCATGAATGAAGAAAAGAGAAAATCAAGAAAGGGAAGAAAACTATAAAAAGAACTCACTTCAACCTTATCAATCTTCCGTTTCAATTTATTCTGCAGTGACCTCTGGCTAGGAACTTGAACAGGATGGAAGAAAAATAGAAAGGATATTAATAGTTATTTTGAACAGTCCCTTAGAATGTTCTGCAAAGAGAAGAAATCAGTAAAAAGGGAAAAACCTTTTGAGGATGAGGATTTCACTGAATCCACTGTCACCTGCTGGAATCAAAACAGTTTTTATTAGGAAAACATAGGCTTTTGAATGGGAAATTATAATGATTTATCAAGTAATAAAACCACAGGCTCAAAGCATTAATCAGTGGAACTTGACAGTAAAAGTGGAAAATGTAGGTAGTGGGAAAAACACAGCCAACCATAGGATGCCATCTAAAACAATGCCCAAGCACCAATTTAACAACTTTAATTATTTAAAAAACTCTTATTACCTTTTTCAAAAGTTCAGTTTCATTAAACCAACTGTTAGATTTAATGCAATTATGTACAAGGAAACAACTCATTGAAATCAAGTATGCCAACTCTAAGTTAATTGTATGTTTCTAACCATTCCATATATATCACAAAATGATTAACCATTAAAATATGAGTGTAAAAACTGTCCTTCATCAAATTGTTACAAATATCACCTGGGCTTGACTATTGGCAAATATGTTATGCAATTATGTATGAGAGGAAACAGTATCTAAAAAATGTAATATATGAGCTATATAATGAACTCCCACTTATCAGTTAGTTAATTTTTGCCATACCTTTTCCTCCACTTTCTTAAACATCGAAGATATGGTGGCCTGAACAAGTGAACCAGGTTTGTCTTGCAAGTTTTCCTTAGACCTATTCATTGTAACAGCAGACTGAGACTGTTTTCTAGACTTCGTTGCTGGAGTTACAGACAATTGAATATCCTCAGGGAACTGATTCTTTTCTGCAGGGTTTTCACTTTCAATGTTGACAACTACAGGACAGGAAGTACTAGTCTGTACCTAACCAAAAAGGGAATAAGGAAACAATATGTGATTAAATAGGAACACACTGAAATCTACAATTTGATGCCATAACCTACATTAACAGTAAAATGAGAAAATAGTATTGGAAAATGGTAAATATTCAAGGTAAAGGTAAATTAACACAGGCTATTTCCAGCACTAACATTTTCAGTTGAATCAATTTTTGTGCAAACTTTTGCATCCTCTCCGCTTGATGTACCACCATCACTTCCAACAATGTCATCGTCAGAAGAGACTTCAGCAAACCTGAGTTAATAGATGTGGAAAGGAAAAATTAAAATCTAAAAAGGCATAGATGTTAAGCTCTGTAGAATCTATGTTACTCTAACTCTCACTAAAAAGCCATGTCTGACACTTATTGGACACCTTGAATTGGGTATGGATATGACTCTTGGATCTGAATTCAATGGAAAAACAAAAATAACGTTTGAGGCACTCATGTTGACACAAATCAATGTCAAACAATTGAACACTTGATCACAACTCTAAATAAGAATATGTAGAACTTCTAAGTTCAGTGGATAAATTATAAGAGATTCAAGGAGAAATGGGAGTTGACTAGGACTGGGAGGAAACTGGATACCAGACAATTTATATATTTTTACTCAAAAAGTGAACTGAAGGTACACCTGAATCCCATAATAATCCCACCACTGAAATATATTCAGTACATGAATTTTAGGGGCTTTCACAAAACTGGGATTTACAGAATTAGCACCCACTAAAACTATTCACAATTCTTCATAAAGACAACAGCACCACATTTGTAGTAAAATAAGACAGTGAGGAAGAACAGTAAATCAGCATTTGAGAATAGAACAAAAAGAAGCTCTTCTAAAAAATCCTTCATAGGAGAGGAACAATTTGTGATTTACACTCTTCAAAGAATAAAGATTCTAACAACATGTACCTGTAGGAAATGGAGATGATGAGGAATAAGAGGAAGCTAAGAAAAGGAGTTATGTACACTATTTAGGATTGTTATGTAACTACTATCATTCTAAGTATATTATTAGTTTTCCAAGTTTTACTAGGATTAGATCTTTTATTGAGAGTCTTAGTGTTGTTAGAATAAGAATTCTATTTCTTTGTGAGTTAGGAGCGTTAGAATTATATATATGCTTGTAGCTTCTTTCATTAGGCAACTAGACAATAATATTCAGAAATTATCAGCATGTTATGCTTTAAGATTGTGCCTCTTTATATGTGATGCCTAAAGAAACCTAGGTTTGACTCCTAGGATTTTTCTATCTTTTTCCTTATCCTCTTTTTTTCCTTCCCTTTTCACCCCTAAAACAGCCCCTAATCTTTTTTACTGTTCACATCCCTAATTTAGCCAAAGTCAGCCCCTTAACCCTAAAATCCACTGTACTCCCTAACGTTGCCCATCTCAAAAGAGAATCACCAGTGCATAAATGAAACATTTTTATAAAATAGGTTAATAGGTGAAAAAGGATGTAACCACAAAGTGCTTCTTAAAAGAAAAGGGAGAGCATAAAAATAAAACCCCTCTTAGCCTTCATTTAATTCCAAACTATTTAAAAGAAGGGCACAAAGAGAGGATGTCTTAGCACCTATTCTGACACTATAACTGCCCAGGTGTGCTTAAGTATAGAATTCAGATGGGACATGGTGAAATTGTGTTAGTATGATCATAGCCAAAGTTATTTTTCACCCAACTGCCTCCCACAACCATAAAATGAGAAAAACAACCACATACAAAAGTAAAATAAATAGCCAGCCTAGTACTTGAAATTTTTGCCAGCAGTTCTTGCAGAATGTCGGGTTGGCGTCACTTCCATCTTATCTTTCAAATTTTTGGCATCATCTGAAAAATCATCTTCTGATTCTGGTTCAGGGGACTGTATTTCCTGATATTTTACTTCTGTTCTAGGAACTCCTTTCTCCTTAACAGATGCCAGCCCTGCACCACCTTTAAAATCAAAATCCATTGGCTGCCCCTGAAAATCAAGAATGTAGTCACCAAAAGACATTATCTCAAAGTTGCAAAAATTTTCAAGCAGGCATTGACAAACATGATAAACTATTAATGGACAAAGCCAACCTCTGTCATTCCCTTTGGAAAATCAAGCCGGGATTCTTCTGGGTTCTCTTCTTTTTTGCCAATCCACCATGCATCAGAAAATACTATCTGGGGGCATCACAAAAGGAATAATTGAAACATTATAGGGAAAATGAATGCAGAAGCTAATACATACATACACATATATATATATATATATGTAAGGCATTAAAACAATTCTTTGGAACCCATTACAAATGAAGAGGAGAGAGAGAATGGATGAAGGCCTGCACTTTTGTTAAAACAGGAGTTGTCATCTCCTAGATAAATAGGTGCTATCCAATATCAACTTGATATTCTCCAGGCTTTTAAATAAAACAAAATGGAGGCAGAACTTTAAGAAGCATAGCTTAAAACATATTAAGAATAGAATGCAAAGAGATGGCCCATTTTACTACATGCAATGGATCTGAAACTCATACTCTATAGAGAAAGAGGAGTAAGAATAAAAACAAACTATTGATTCTAAGCTCATTTCCTTGCTTTCAAGGGAAGTGAACAAATTTTGCAATTCTTCGTTTCATCATTTTATCTGGTTTTTATAATAAAAAATGATATTCCATTCATTCATCCCCAATTCAATATAGACCAACTCAATATTGAGTTATATAATAGCATAGATAAAGAAGAGAGAAAAATTCCAAAATTAACTTACAAAATAAGGAAACTAAGATTGAGTGAACTTCACTCTCAAAACCTTCAAGCATTTCAATTTTAAAACTTCCATTACCTACAAACTGCCAACTAAGAAATAATACAGTTTCCCAGGAGTTGAATATTGACCCTGTCATCCTAACTTCTTCATTTTCACTCAAAAATTAACAGCTTCTGTTAAGTACTTAAACCTTTTTTTTCTTCAAAGAATTGCTCGCGATGGTAACCATTGTCAATGCTAAACAACCATCCGATGATTAACAAACGAAAAAAGTTTAATGCACTTTCAACTTTTTTTTCAATCAAGAATGACTAATAACCACATTGTTACCAAAAAAATCTAGCCATTCAAGATTTTGTAGGTCTCAATGCATCATATAGCATTATTGTAAAGCAGAACGTCACTTGCTGCTGTGAATGCCTCTCCTGCCTCTAATATATTCCCTCTTAGACAAACAAATCCAGACAAGCATACAACCAGTGGCCCCAACATTTCAATAGCTGAGTGGGAAATCACTTGAAGATTATTGTTCAAGGTCCCAGTGCCTCCTACATTGCTATCATAAGGATTGCTGATTCCAATTTTCAGACATTTAAAGCCAATTAATCTAATAAATTTAGTCTAAGTACGAGACAACTACAACATGGAAAACAAGAGAACAACTTAAGTACAAAACACTGCCTCTGTCATCAAGAAAGAAGTTGCATTTGGAGTGTGAAAGAAATGCAAAATTTTAACTAGAAAGATATTAAACTATACTAAGCAATTAATGAATGATGAGAAAAGAAGAACACTTTCTTGGATCACCAAAAGTTGGATTCAGATATTGTTCACTCCAAGGGAGGTAAAGTCCTGATAAATATTAGCTTATTGTTAAATTATATAGTTTCAGAGAGCTGTCCTGCCTACCCTCTCTCAAAGTCATCCAGACTATCCATTACAACAACAAAAATATGGAATTCTCTTACAAGATTTCCTGACTAAAAAATCCCGTGCATTATCTCAGACCCATTAGTGGATGCTGATAACAACTGATTATAATATGGCTTATTATCAAATGATCAAGTGGATGCCTTTTTAAAACTAAGAAGGATGCAAGTGGGTTCTTAGGAGTAAAACCAAGACAAAAATTAACAATTATTATAGAGAAAACAAGGCAAGAGAACAAAAATACTAACCATATTATCAAAATAATCCTCACACATGACGTTCTTTCCACCCTTGGAGAACTGAAGCGTCAAATACCTGTTTTTTGGATAGACAATGGTGCCAAACAACTTCATTTGACCCTAACAGAAATCAGATGGATTCCAATTTTCAATAAAACATGAAATAATCATTTGCCCAAAAGTTAATGAAAAGAAAGAAATCCACAAGGCGCAAATTTATTTTGCAATTTCGCCCAATTTGCCATAAAGAACACCAAACCTGGGGGAAATCGAGGTAGAGAATGGGGTTCTTGGTGCCAAGGTCTTTGAGCTCGCCGATCTTGCCGCCTGCGATGGGGGCGAGAAGTCCGGGGAAGGAGAAGAGGAAACGGTTTTTTCTCTGAGATTTCCTAAGTATATCCTTGCCGTGGTGTTTCACGACCTGGTTAGATGGAGAGAGAGGCGCCGAACACTTGACTGGAGTCTCGGAGAGAATGTTGTTCCGGATCGCCAGCTTCTTGAGTCTCCGGCGCTCCGTTGCCTCTGGCTTCTGGACATCTTCTTTCTTTGAAGATGAAGGTCGAGCCATGGCCGTCTGAGATGGGAGCTCGAATCAAAGAGCTTCACACTTCCTTTTTCTTCTCTGCGACGGGCGGGAAGCTGGAGTTTGCACGCGCCAAGGGTAAACAATAGAACTTCGTTGCCGTGAACCTTTTGGTGTTTGTCAATTCTGTCCCTGATCTTTTTTATTACTTTTAATTTTGTCCTATTATTTCTGATATTTGTCCCTTTTCTTCGTTTTTTTTTTTCCCAACCCCTCATGTTGCAGATCGAGCAAACATCTCAATATTTAAAAGCACATATTTTCTTGAAATTTTTTTTAATAAAAAGTAGTTAGATTTTAAACTGAATTTTCATTTTCAATAGTTTACTTCAAATTTTAAAATGCTTATATTTATTGATCGAAATTTTGATCCCACCAATATCTTGAAAAAAATCTCTCACTCCTAAATTTTAGACTATTAAAAAGGAGTTAGATTTTTTTTTTGATAATTAAAAGATAAAATATTATATAATTAAGGAATATATTAGTAAGTTCTCTGAAAGTTAGTCCCTATAATATCTATAAGTATATTTAACCACTTGGCACTTACAATCAAAACTAACAAAAATCCTCCCAAATGTTGTGCCCCATTTTTGCCATAATATCTGCTGCCATATTGGATTCACGATAATTAGAGCCATATAAACATAAAAATTAAACCTTAAGCATTAATAATAAAAGCTTTAATTCATTATAAATTTAAACAATTAAATACTAAAGGTCGTAATCTCTCATATGACCCAATGGTGATCACATTACCTATTATATAGTAAGTGAAATACACCCAACTCCAAGATTTGATCCTCTTTCAAAGCGACAGACATTTAATACTTAATTTAACCATTTTTTCGTGTCAAAATGAAAAATACTAAAGTTCAACTGCTACCCGTATATGTCATGGTACGACTATAGAATTCTATGAATAAACTATTACCCTTGGAGCGATTTAAAATTTTAAATAACTATATCTCTAATATCAGATTCAGGAGAGAGCAACGAAGCCACCATGTAACAATTCCCCCACCAAATGTTGATAAAGCAGGCAAAACTGTTACCCGGAGGAGTATCAAAATCCTTCAAGAAAGCAATTAACGCCCATTCCTATTCAAAAGATTCCCTCGCATTAGTCCATTGAATCATTTCGGTGGTTTTCATCATCAAGCTGAAGTCCTCCTCTTCGCTGAGCCTCCATCATCGTTCTCCTCTCCACCATCAAATAAATGCGGCTACCCTAAAGAAAAGTCAATATATGCTGCGAATTCTGATAGAGGAAACATATGTTACAATCCCACACAAGTGCCACATCTAGAAACAATGAAGTTGACCACACCAGAAACAAGCACTTGGGAACGCCGGAGTTACTGGGTTTGATTGTTCAGCATTGACTACATAAATGTTGTCAAATCCCAATAAGAAAGTTCAAACAATGTCCAATCCAGAAATCAAGTGACATCTTCTTTAATTATATCCTCCTCCTATTTGGTAATAGACAAACAGAGACCCATGTTCCTCTTCACCGGGCTGCCAAGCTACTCATTAACTCTCAAATGGAAAATGGTGATTTTGAGATTTTCCGCATGAGATGCCTTCTCTTCAACGTTTTCTCCAGGAAAAGAGTTTGAATATTAGTACAAATGTTTTAGTTTGTAATCCATCATTCGTTAATGGCAGTTACATGATAAATTGCAGGTTACACTAAGCAATATATAGAAATTACATGCTGGTATGGGCTTTAGCCGAATATTGTTCAGTTGTTTCTCCACCTTGAACATAATTGAGGGATGGTTGGTTTTTTTTTTTTTTTTTTT